GAGAAGATTGCAAGTTGGCCATACTGCACGGAGATTAGCCAATCATTTGAATGTTCATGTTAGGACAATCTACCGACTGCAGGAGTGGTATCAGGTCACTTAAATCATCCAAGACAGTCCACGCAGTGGGCGACCTTCAGTAACACCACAACGTCAAGACCGACAGATGGTGCGCAACCATCTGCAGGATCGCTTCCCCAGAGGGCGGAACCTCACGCCAGACTATTGGGACTCACAACAGACCCATCAGTGCCGATACAGTGCGTCGACGTTTGCGCGGACGAAACCTCTGCTGTCACAGGCCATATCGTAGTCCTGTCCTCGCCGCTCATCACCGACCAAAACCGACTGCAATGGGCAACTCGAAATTGGCGTTATCGACAATGGAGAACTGTGCTTTTATCTCACGGGGAACTGTGTTCCAATGATTGTATTGTTGAAAGAGACTCGTGGGGTGGTCCAAGCATCATGGTGTGGGGTGCAATCGGTCTGAACCAGATAGTTGACACCGTGGTGTTCGAGATTCTTGGTCCAGGATGAGGAAATGACGTAACAGTTGCTCGCTATATTGACCAAGTCATAAGACCCCACGTTGTACCACATTTTGGACGTTACAGAAATCACATCTTCCAGCCAGACAACGCTCGTGCCCACACTGCCAGAGCAACATTGGGCTTCATAAGACAACATGGCATCCAAACCCTACAATAGCCTGCACTCAGTCCGGATTGAAGTCCAATAGAACACCTTTGGGACGAGATTCAAAGAAAACTGAATGACCTCCAACCAAGGCCGACAACTACGGCTGGACTCGATCAGGCTTTTCGCAGAGTATGGATCCAAGTGCCTATGGCCTTCATCAACCGGCTATTTCATTCCATGTACAGACGATGCAACGCTTTCATCGATGCCCACAGAGGCCATACACAATACTATCTTTGGGGTATCTTAATGGTACCATTTGTTTTTGTTTGTTTGAACTCTAAATGTGATTCCCGAAAAGGAGTTAACCATTATTGTTAAGCTTGAACTCAATCCTCCGTTTTGATTGTTAATTAGAGTGAATTAAGGTGTGTGCTTTAAGAAACCGCTATCGGTGCGACATTTTTGTGTGGTTCAGTATATGTTCAATAACCAGATCCCTTCCACTGATTACTTCCATAAGGAATTTTGCAATGATCTTTAACTCAAGATACCGTTCAATATCGTTATATAGCCAGATCCCTTCCACTGATTACATGCATGTGAATTGTGCCATGATCTTTAACTCAAGATACCGTTTAATATCGTTATATATCCATATCGTTATATCTTTAACTCAAGATACCGTTCAATATCGTTATATAGCCAGATCCCTTCCACCGCTTGCATGCATGGGAATTGTGCCATGATCTTTAACTCAAGATACCGTTCAATATCGTTATATAGCCAGATCCCTTCCACTGATTACATGCATGGGAATTGTGCCATGATCTTTAACTCAAGATACCGTTCAATATCGTTATATAGCCAGATCCCTTCCACCGCTTGCATGCATGGGAATTGTGCCATGATCTTTAACTCAAGATACCGTTCAATATCGTTATATAGCCAGATCCCTTCCACTGATTACATGCATGGGAATTGTGCCATGATCTTTAACTCAAGATACCGTTCAATATCGTTATATAGCCAGATCCCTTCCACTGATTACATGCATGTGAATTGTGCCATGATCTTTAACTCAAGATACCGTTCAATATCGTTATATAGCCAGATCCCTTCCACCGATTACATGCATGGGAATTGTGCCATGATCTTTAACTCAAGATACCGTTCAATATCGTTATATAGCCAGATCCCTTCCACTGATTACATGCATGGGAATTGTGCCATGATCTTTAACTCAAGATACCGTTCAATATCGTTATATAGCCAGATCCCTTCCACTGATTACATGCATGGGAATTGTGCCATGATCTTTAACTCAAGATACCGTTCAATATCGTTATATAGCCAGATCCCTTCCACTGATTACATGCATGTGAATTGTGCCATGATCTTTAACTCAAGATACCGTTCAATATCGTTATATAGCCAGATCCCTTCCACTGATTACATGCATGTGAATTGTGCCATGATCTTTAACTCAAGATACCGTTCAATATCGTTATATAGCCAGATCCCTTCCACTGATTACATGCATGTGAATTGTGCCATGATCTTTAACTCAAGATACCGTTCAATATCGTTATATAGCCAGATCCCTTCCACCGATTACATGCATGGGAATTGTGCCATGATCTTTAACTCAAGATACCGTTCAATATCGTTATATAGCCAGATCCCTTCCACTGATTACATGCATGTGAATTGTGCCATGATCTTTAACTCAAGATACCGTTCAATATCGTTATATAGCCAGATCCCTTCCACCGATTACATGCATGTGAATTGTGCCATGATCTTTAACTCAAGATACCGTTCAATATCGTTATATAACCAGATCCCTTCCACCGATTACATGCATGTGAATTGTGCCATGATCTTTAACTCAAGATACCGTTCAATATCGTTATATAGCCAGATCCCTTCCACTGATTACATGCATGGGAATTGTGCCAAGATCTTTAACTCAAGATACCGTTCAATATCGTTATATAACCAGATCCCTTCCACCGATTACATGCATGGGAATTGTGCCAAGATCTTTAACTCAAGATACCGTTCAATATCGTTATATAGCCAGATCCCTTCCACCGCTTGCATGCATGGGAATTGTGCCATGATCTTTAACTCAAGATACCGTTCAATATCGTTATATAACCAGATCCCTTCCACCGATTACATGCATGTGAATTGTGCCATGATCTTTAACTCAAGATACCGTTCAATATCGTTATATAACCAGATCCCTTCCACCGATTACATGCATGTGAATTGTGCCATGATCTTTAACTCAAGATACCGTTCAATATCGTTATATAGCCAGATCCCTTCCACTGATTACATGCATGTGAATTGTGCCATGATCTTTAACTCAAGATACCGTTCAATATCGTTATATAACCAGATCCCTTCCACTGATTACATGCATGTGAATTGTGCCATGATCTTTAACTCAAGATACCGTTCAATATCGTTATATAGCCAGATCCCTTCCACTGATTACATGCATGGGAATTGTGCCATGATCTTTAACTCAAGATACCGTTCAATATCGTTATATAGCCAGATCCCTTCCACCGCTTGCATGCATGGGAATTGTGCCAGGATCTTTAACTCAAGATACCGTTCAATATCGTTATATAGCCAGATCCCTTCCACTGATTACATGCATACTAAAAACTAAAACTTCCCTAATTTGCATGATATTTCACTTTATGCATGAAGTGCCAATAACGTCAAGAGGGATGACTTACAAAGAGTCAAGGCGAGCAATACTCCGGCAGCTCCAGCCTTTTATGTCTTCAATTCACAACTTTTCAGGTACAATCAAGGATGATCTTTCTATCTTCCTATTAACATTTCAAATAGCCATGCTATTATAGAACATTCAGCCATTGCTAAGACTTTCAAAACAGTTTACTGTAGAAATTTGGAGGACTTTTTCAAATTTGACCAAAATTATATCCGATGCCATTTCCCATTTCAACTTTTCAGTGCGCTTCCTTTGTATTTGTTAGCGGCATGTGACACAGGTGGGGCACTTAACCTTTTAGAACAACTGGCATCATTATTGATTGGTCTTCATCAACACATGCTGGCCAGAGGTATCCGTCGGGCTAGCTCGCCGAAATGATTGATGCATGTTATTGTTCCCTAAATGGGTATATCGTCGCACATGATGACATTCACTGAATTGTCTGGCCCAAACTCAATCATTTACATACTGATAACTGGAATGCTGCTTAAGGGCGGCGTTAAAATTAAAAGACAACAAACAAACAATAAACATAGTCATGTGATATAGAAGGAGTCAGAGAGTGAGTTTAGTTTAACGCCGTACTTAACAATATTCCAGCAATATCGGGTGTGGATGTGTGTGTGTGTGTGTGTGTGTGTGTGTGTGTGTGTGTGTGTGTGTGTGTGTGTGTGTGTGTGTGTGTGTGTGTGTGTGTGTTTGTTTGTTTGTTTGTTTTCACACCAGAGCATTGTACCAATGTGAGGAATCGAACCCGGGTCTTCAACGTGACGATCGGACGCCTTAATAATTAGGCATTATTTCACTCTCACCTGGGGCGGTGGGGTGGCCTAGTGGTTAAAGCGTTGGCTCGTCACGCCGAAGACCCGGGTTCGATTCCCCGCATGGCCACAATGTGTGAAGCCCATTTCTGGTGTCCCCCGCCGTGATATTGCTGGAATATTGCTAAAAGCGGCGTAAAACTAAACTCAGTCAGTCAGTCACTCTCACCTTGTGCATACTGCAGGCTTCACCTGTTAACGCTTTTATCAAAGGGCCATGTGTTGTTAATGTGTCTCGCTTCCTAATCCCCTATTGTACTGCACAAACATCTCCTCTAACTTATATATATATACTTCTCTATCCTCATGCTGTTCATCAATTGCTTGATAAGGCTGTTAGAACCTACACCGAAACGTCGCTCTCACAGCAATAAAGAAGTTGTTCATCCATATATCCTTCCTAACTAGGCTACCCTACCTCCCCGATATAGAAAGAATAGTATAAGAAAGGCTTCTTGTGATTCTAAACATTTGGCTGTCACTTTCCTTTGTTTTCGACATTGCTGTAGGAACTTACAGGTATGGAGTGCTACGCTTGTCTCGTCAGAGACCAGGGCGGTGGGGTAGCCTAATGGTTAAAGCGTTGGCTCGTCACGCCGAAGACCCTGGTTCGAATCCCCACATTGGTACAATTTGTGAAGCCCATTTCTGGTGTCCCCCGCCGTGATATTGCTGGAATATTGCTTAAAGCGGCGTAAAACCAAATTCAGTCAGTCAGTCAGTCAGTCAGTCAGTCGTCAGAGACCAACAGGGATCACTGTTGAACATTGTTTCAGGTGACCTTGACCTCCATTAACCGACATGGGTAAATGTGTATCGAGGAACGAGGATATACCCAAGCTGCCCCCCTCGGTCAACCAGTTGAATGCCGGCACCATAGACCGGACCGCACGGCCCAGTTCAAGTTCCAACGATGGCACTCTTTCCTCCAAAAAGCGGAGCCTGCCACCAGTGCCTGCAGCTCAGCGTAAGATTTCTATGTATTCGCTGGCGGTTTGTTCACAGCTTTAGTATCATTTTGTAACATTTTGAACAAATGCTGAACCTGTTTAGTATTTGTAGAAATATGTTAGCTCTGAAAATATTTTTCTAATAGCAATAGAATAGCAATAGGAACCTTTTACCCACATACAATGGCAATATAAGAGACTAGTGAAACAGCCCGATCTGTTTCATAATTAGATCCATGCTTAAAAGATACATAGTATTCAAACAGATCCATGTCGAGCAATATTCCACTCTTTAAACTAATTAGAATCATATCTTTCGTGTGACATTTTGAACATGTTCCTCAGAAAAAATGGTTCCAGTAACCATTTCAATGCCATTCACAATTTTGGCTTTAATGACACTTTGGTGCATTCCATATGTTTTGCAGAGGGAATCAAATTCCTTGCTATGTACGATTTTGATGCGGTGAATGATGATGACCTCTCCTTCAGAAAGGGAGACCGTCTGTTGGTCGAAGAGGGCAGGTATGGTATCACGAGGAGTTACCAAATGCTGAATATTCAACCTTATTCTTTAGTGTCTAGTTTTTTTCGAGTTCTTTCAGTTTATCGTCAGTTACTATATAGACATAGGGTAAACCTATTTCATACAGGCATGCATGTTGTATACAGGATCTCTACCACATCTGGGTGCCGTTGCTCGCAGCGATCTGAGGTGATCCCTTACCTTAACACAGGCTTAGTACCAAGGCTTTTTAGCACAATGACTCCCGAGGTGCACTTTAATTCACATCCCTTAAACCGTTCTACAGTCCGCTCATCATCTGCCGTACCCTGGTTATGACACAGGCCTTAAATTAGCCTCTTTGAGAGGATAAAGACTACAGAAAAATAGAAGAAAGTTGTTTTTTTTGCTGATCAACGCCACAGCAATATTCCAGATATAATGAAGTCTTGACAAGACTGACATCATGAGCACCATGCAACTGGATACCATGAAATTGATTGAAACATATTTTATTCATTCAAGAAAAGGAATGGGTACAAGTTATTCAACTTAGAAAAGCCCTCTCCCAATAATGACACAATTCATCTTACAACAATGTACACAGATGACAGACATAGACTAGGATATGTACAAGAGAGGTTAACTGAGAAAGCGTTTTGTTTGAGAGATATAGATATGTACATATTTGAAATCATTCTGATTTTCAGTAATTGAGAGACCTGCATTTCCATGTAACACCAATCAGTTTTCTATTTTTAACAATATTTTCTAAAGATTTGAACAGTTTATGTCCTTGAATAGTATACAATCGACATTCATGGAAGTAATGAAAAACATTCTCACATCCATTTCCACACTGACATGATGCGCCATTTTTTATATTTATTCTGCATATATTAAGTGTACTCGTCCTATATCTTAATCCTATGTGAAAAACATTTAACTTCCTTATTCGCTATGAATAATTTATAGGTGCACAGTTTTCTTTCACGTGGATATAAGATTTAAATGATGCAACAGAGTCGCAGTTTCTGATAGCTAAGGACTATTATTCCACATTTTAACTGCTGATGGAATAAATGATGATGTTGAGTACCTCGGTCTTGTACATGGTTGGCTAAAATTATTGAGTTCCTTAACTCTTAACTTAAGTGAGAGCAAATCCTGAAGAGAACAGGTGCAATACCTTTTTGAAATTTACAAAATAATGTTAAGTTGCATCTTCTCCTTCTCTCAGAAAGTAAATCCCATCCCGTTTCATATAATACAACGAACTGGAAGATGCACATCTTGGAACCAGTAACTATGCGAGCTGCTTCAAACTGGAGTTTGTCTAATCTATTGGCTTGTTCAATTAAACATTCATCCCATACCTCGCATGCGTACTCAAAATGTGAAATGACCATCAGATCCCGTTAGTCGCCTTAAGACAAGCATGGATTGCTGTAGTTCCAGCCTTGATCTTATATCGGTGCGATGTGTGAAAGATGTATAGGATAAGTCCATTGAAGAAGTTATTACAGAAGTGCATTTAGGCATGTAGCTAATTTGTACTATGATGTTCAGTCAACAGAACAGTGACTGGTGGATAGCAACCAATGCCAAAACACGGAAGAAGGGATACGTCCCCAGAAACTATGTGTGCAAGGATGACGAGTCTCCCCAGGCACAAGAGTAAGCTAAACCCATCTTCTAGTCACAGAAACTGCGGGGTATAAGTGACGATGTCTGTGATGAGTCAAACTGCTAACTAGTGGAGGTGTTGAAGTAAAATTTCTTAAACCTTCGTGAGATTTTGCTATTTCATGTTCATATACAATTAAACCATTAGCACAACAAATTTATGGGTAGAGTAATCTCATCTTGGTATATTGTCCCATTTCGTTGTAAAGGGGTTAAACATTGAATTCTGGATATCTCAAGTGCTTAAACGATTCGTATCAATATTGGAATATTTGGCGTGTATATATGATTCATGATGAGAATTTGGAGTAATATTACGTACCAGATACGCCAAATATACTGACGGGCTAAAAGAAACGCTACCATAGTTTTAAAACCCTATTGTGAAATATCCATAAAAGATAGTTAAAAAACCCAAAATGAACAGAGAAACATGACACTACATTTGGATGCCTTATTTCCATGTGATGGTGATTGCAGCTGAATTTGAAATTTTTAGTAATTTCACGTTCAAAGTGGCGACGTTTCTTTAGCCCGTCAGTTTATTTGATTTCTTATGGAGACATTAAGTGATGACAATACTCACACTCTCAAATTCCTGTGCGTATACAAAGACATGTGACATTAGTACTATAGGCTTGCTGTTCATACATCTTGTTTTATTACCACTGGGAGTGATTCTTAGACAGATGCTAGCAATACGGTCGATATCTGACAATGAATCTGCTAATGATTTCTTTTGAAGAAGGAATGGTTTTATTTGATAGTGTACATTTATAATGCTTAATGGGTTATTGGTATGACTATTTAAGTGTCAACGTTTGTTTCATTCATCATACGTTGGGAACCTGCTTGGACCGAGCTGTAATGACATATACTGAGGGGAACAAATAAGGGATTAGATTAAAGCACAAGTGTTCCCTTATTATTTTCCAGGTTTCTTCACAAGCTATGCGATACAAAGCTTGTGAAGAAACCTTGGAAAAAATAAAGGAACACTTGTTCTTTCATGTGATCCCTTGTTTGTTCCCTCAGTATATTTAAGAGGGTTGTAACTATGTACTAAAACACACTGCTCTCCCTGCTTCCACAGCTGGTGGTATAATTGTGACCGCAAAGAGGCCGACAAGATGCTGCTGCTTCCTGGCAACAAAGTTGGCACTTTTCTCGTCAGAGAGTCTACAGGTGAAGGTCACTTGTTGCTGCCCAACGTGGCTTGAAGTTCCAAGATTGAAGACCTCCTGCCCAATCGATAGATATCTTAGTCTTTATTCACATTCTAAATTCCTAAATCTTTCAAGTGAACCGATGATCCTGGTTTGGACAGATTAAGTATTGCTTAACTGAGTTGGTCGGGAAACAGCTTAATATGACCCCCGCCATTATTAAGGGATGTGGAAGTGTATTGGTGTCACCTTTTAAAAGAAATATTATCTTCGACGATGATACTTTTATCTATCTACGTATTTGTAGAATATGACACCAATACGCTTCCATACAACACCGTAGCGTCATTATTGAGATGTTTTTTCCTGCTTTCACACTTCTTTCCTGCACCTTTCTGTTTGCCTCAGACAAGTCCTCCCACGTGTTGTCGGTACGAGACAGTGTCCCCAGTGTTAAACACTACCGTATGCGGAAGTTGGATAGCGGGGGCGTCTACATCAACACAAAACGAACGTTTACCGGTGTAATTGATCTTATAGACCACTATAGAAGTAAGTAAAATAATACATTTGTCATATCTACATTGTTTAATAACATTTGAGATGGATATATTGTCAGGTCTGTGTTGGCACAATTCGCCATACGTTTTTGCTTTTAGATAATGGAAACAATTTTGGGTTTTTACTAATCTTTAGAAGATGAAATCTTTTGGTACAATGACTCCGCGTCGAATGAAAACACATAGTTTATCATTATCTGGTGAAGATACCATGCATGGCGCTCAGAAACAACATGCTGTATTAGAGATAATATTAATGACGTCATCATGTCTCATTGATACTGACTGAAACCGTCAGTTTGTGTTCCTTTTCGTGATCCAGAAATGAGACCTATTGTTGTGAATGCTTCAAATATCTAAGATAATAGAAGTTGTGGCGCTCATATGCTGATATGAAGTTCACCGGCAGAGATTGACGGATCTTTTCGGGGAGTTATTTATTGGAGTGAATGATATGATTTAAATGTGATTGGACGTCATTTAATGAAAGGGTTGGTCCTTGGTATTCATTTCCAAGTTAAATTTTCAGTTATGATTTTGTTTTATTCCTATGAATGTCCGTTAGGAGAAAAACAATTTCTTGCTTTTTCATATTTGCGAAAAAACATTTTTAGTATCCTATAATTTACTGTTTGTCACTTTTGGAATGTGTCTGTGAATTGTTGCCAGTTAATCCAGATGGGCTGTGTGCAGTGCTAACAGATGCGTGTCCTAGGACTCGACCGCTTGTACACTTCCGGGACCTAGAAGTTGCCCGAAATGCGGTCAAGATGGCCGCCAAACTTGGTGCTGGGTGTTTCGGCGAAGTATGGAAGGGTGCGTACATATCCGGGTACAAATTACAGATTCGTATACAGATCAACATTTCAAACTCCCGAGGTAGCTTAAATTCGACCACATTGCAAACACGTTATTAATAATCAATTAGGATCCATGCCCGAATGTTTAAATACGTATAGGTTCCTTGAGAACTACAAATGTACTCGACCTGTAAGGTGTGTTATTCGATATGTAAGGGCTTGAATAAAGTGTTTGTTGCATTTTGAAGCTTATTATTATTAATATTGATCTTTTTCCTTAACATTTTAATTACTACTGACGTAGCATCCATAAGTATGCTCTCAGGTTTATTTGACATACAGACTAGTGTCTAGTAATAATGTCTTCCTGTAGACAGTACGTCTCTACTGGTGTCCTACAGGGTTATTGCGCTTCCCCATATTTCTTTCTTTTGTCAACTGTGGCGGCCCCGTGCTCTCTTTTGGGATACATTTCTGGTGTCCCCCGCCGTGATGTTGCTGGAATATTGCTAAAAGCGGCGTAAAACCAAACTCAGTCAGTCAGTCAGTCTTTTGGGATAATATTAATCCTCAATAAATTTTGACGTAAGTGGTTTCGGTGTCCAGCCTGGCTGCTTGTTTGATTTTCCTGGTTGGGGGTGATCGTTGTCCATACTTTCACACTCTCATTTGGGGCGGTGGAGTAGCCTAGTGTTTAAAGCCTTCGCTTGTCAGTCCGAAGACCTGGGTTCGATTCCCCATATGGGTGCAATGTGCGGAGCCCATTTCTGGTGTCCCCCGCAGTGATGTTGCTGGAATATTACCAGAAGGGGCGTAAACTAACCTCACTCACTCACACACGCACTTCCAGGCGTACTCCGGAATGTGATCGACGTAGCCGTGAAGACCCTAAAACCAGGCACCATGACCGCGGAAGCCTTCTTGGCAGAGGCGAAGATCATGCACCAGCTGCGTCACAAGAAGCTGGTCCAGCTGATAGCTGTCTGTACAGATGAGGAGCCCATCCTCATCATGACAGAGCTGATGGCAAACGGCGCCCTACTGGACTACATGAGGAAGGATGAGGGCCAGCTGATCCGCTTCCCCACCATCATTGACATGGCATCACAGGTGGGTAGTATCAAATTATACTTGGTAACTAGTCTGCCAATTGTAAGGCCTGCTGATTCCTGTTGTAGGACCGATACATCCACATCCTGTACATCAAACATCCTCATCCTGTACATAATACATCAACATCCTGTACATCATATAATCCACATCCTGTACATCATATCATCCACATCCTGTACATCATATCATCCTCATCCTGTACATCATATCATCCTCATCCTGTACATCATATAATCCTCATCCTGTACATCAAACATCCTCATCCTGTACATAATACATCAACATCCTGTACATCATATCATCCTCATCCTGTACATCATATCATCCTCATCCTGTACATCATATCATCCTCATCCTGTACATCATATAATCCTCATCCTGTACATCATACATCCTCATCCTGTACATCATAAAATCCACATCCTGTACATCATATAATCCACATCCTGTGCATCATATCATCCACATCCTGTACATCATATCATCCTCATCCTGTACATCATATCATCCTCATCCTGTACATCATAAAATCCACATCCTGTACATCATATCATCCTCATCCTGTACATCGTATCCTCATCCTGTATATCATACATCCTCAGCCTGTACTTCATATAATCCTCATCCTGTACATCATATAGTCCACATCCTGTACATCATAAAATCCACATCCTGTACATCATATCATCCTCATCCTGTACATCATACATCCTCATCCTGTACATCATATCATCCTCATCCTGTACATCATATAATCCTCATCCTGTACATCATATCATCCTCATCCTGTACATCATATAATCCTCATCCTGTACATCATACATCCTCATCCTGGACGTCATACATCCTCATCCTGGACGTCATACATACATCGTATCCTCATCCTGTCCTGTACATCCTCATCCTGGCATATCATCGTATCCTTATCGTGTACACCATATAAACATCGTCCTGCACATGATATCACCCTCGTCCTGGGCATTGTATCCGCATCCTCTAAATCATATAAACATCGTCCTGTACATCATATTATCCTCATTCTGTACATGATATAAACATTGTCCTGTACATAATATAATCCTTATCCTGTACATCGTATCCTCATTCTGTATATCGTATCCTCATCCTGTACAGCATATCCTTATTCTGTTTATCTTGTCCACATCCTGTATATCATATCCTCATCCTGAACGTCATATCCTCATGTACATTATATCATCCTCATCCTGTACATCGTATAATATTCATCATGTACATCATGTCATTCTCAGTTGTTTCATTATATTTGTTCAGATTGCAGACGGCATGGCGTTCTTGGAGAAAGAGAACTTTGTCCATAGAGATCTCCGTGCTGCTAACATCCTCGTCGGGGAAAACAATGAAGTCAAGGTTGCCGACTTCGGTCTCGCGAGAATTCTCCAGGATGAGGATATATATGAAGCCACAGAGAGTAAGTATATGACGTAAATACCTCTTGCCTTGATGGGAGGTATTTCCTGATGGACCATGATACTGAACAGCGACAGAAGCCACTGACAGAGTCCACTGTGCGATTCCTATCTATCGTAAGCATGTGTTTATGAATTTCCACAATGTATGTCTATAGTAGTGTTTGAGAAAAGGTGAGGCTATCCTGTTCCAACGGTGGCACCCGTGAAGATCCGGGTTAGAATTGATCTTCAGTAACCAATACTTGTCGTAAGAGGCGACTAACGGGATCGGGTGGTCAGGCTAGCTGACTTGGATGACACATATCATTGGTTCCCAATTGCGCAGATCGATGCTCATGCTGTTGATCACTAGATTGTCTGGTCCAGACTCGATTATGGTACAGACTGCCGCCATATAGTTGGAATATTGCTAAGTGCAGCGTAAAAGTAAACTCACTCACTCACTCGCCCAACTGTGGCAATTGTCAGCAAACGGGAACAATATGCAAATTTGTCAGTGATGCGTGAAATTTGGAAACGCAATTCACATTGTCTAATACCATAAAGCGGGAGGTGAAATGTGGCTTTTCCCCGAATTTGAATTGCCTAATGTGAGCCCATTCCATGATGGACTGTAACATGCTCGACATAAGACTTAATAGCTTATCAGGTGAAGTTATTGTGTAGGGAAAGTAATGTGTGTCATGTGTTTGCCAGATACGAAATTCCCCATCAAGTGGACAGCTCCTGAGGCAGCTCTGGAAAGGAAGTTCTCCATCAAGTCCGACGTCTGGTCATTCGGCGTTCTCCTGTACGAGCTGGTTACCTTCGGGAGAGTTCCCTACCCTGGTGAGTGTTCTGTTAGTTCACCTAGCAGGCCTAAATATACATTGCACTATCTGTCCTCATAACAGGTCCAGCTAGAATATGTATTGCACTGTCTGTCCTCACAGTTCACCCAACAGGTCCAAGAAGAATATGCATTACACGGTCTGTCCTCACAGTTCACCCAACAGGTCCAAGTAGAATATGTATTGCACTTTCTGTCCTCACACTTCACCCAACAGGTCCAAGTAGAATATGTATTGCACTGTCTGTCCTCACACTTCACCCAACAGGTCCAAGTAGAATATGTATTGCACTGTCTGTCCTCACAGTTCACCCAACAGGTCCAAGTAGAATATGTATTGCACTGTCTGTCCTCACACTTCACCCAACAGGTCCAAGTAGAATATGTATTGCACTGTCTGTCCTCACACTTCACCCAACAGGTCCAAGTAGAATATGTATTGCACTGTCTGTCCTCACACTTCACCCAACAGGTCCAAGTAGAATATGTATTGCACTGTCTGTCCTCACACTTCACCCAACAGGTCCAAGTAGAATATGTATTGCACTGTCTGTCCTCACACAGTTCACCCAACAGGTCCAAGTAGAATATGTATTGCACTGTCTGTCCTCACAGTTCACCCAACAGGTCCAAGTAGAATACTAGTATGTATTGCACTGTCTGTCCTCACAGTTCACCCAACAGGTCCAAGTAGAATATGTATTGCACTGTCTCCCTCACAGTTCACCCAACAGGTCCAAGTAGAATATGTATTGCACTGTCTGTCCTCACACTTCACCCAACAGGTCCAAGTAGAATATGTATTGCACTGTCTGTCCTCACACTTCACCCAACAGGTCCAAGTAGAATATGTATTGCACTGTCTGTCCTCACAGTTCACCCAACAGGTCCAAGTAGAATATGTATTGCACTGTCTGTCCTCACAGTTCACCCAACAGGTCCAAGTAGAATATGTATTGCACTGTCTGTCCTCACACTTCACCCAACAGGTCCAAGTAGAATATGTATTGCACTGTCTGTCCTCACAGTTCACCCAACAGGTCCAAGTAGAATATGTATTGCACTGTCTGTCCTCACACTTCACCCAACAGGTCCAAGTAGAATATGTATTGCACTGTCTGTCCTCACAGTTCACCCAACAGGTCCAAGTAGAATATGTATTGCACTGTCTGTCCTCACACTTCACCCAACAGGTCCAAGTAGGATATTTATTGCACTGTCTGTCCTCACACTTCACCCAACAGGTCCAAGTAGAATATGTATTGCACTGTCTGTCCTCACAGTTCACCCAACAGGTCCAAGTAGAATATGTATTGCACTGTCTGTCCTCACACTTCACCCAACAGGTTCACCCAACAGGTCCAAGTAGAAATATGTATTGCACTGTCTGTCCTCACACTTCACCCAACAGGTCCAAGTAGAATATGTATTGCACTGTCTGTCCTCACACTTCACCCAACAGGTCCAAGTAGAATATGTATTGCACTGTCTGTCCTCACACTTCACCCAACAGGTCCAAGTAGAATATGTATTGCACTGTCTGTCCTCACAGTTCACCCAACAGGTCCAAGTAGAATATGTATTGCACTGTCTGTCCTCACAGTTCACCCAACAGGTCCAAGTAGAATATGTATTGCACTGTCTGTCCTCACAGTTCACCCAACAGGTCCAAGTAGAATATGTATTGCACTGTCTGTCCTCACAGTTCACCCAACAGGTCCAAGTAGAATATGTATTGCACTGTCTGTCCTCACAGTTCACCCAACAGGTCCAAGTAGAATATGTATTGCACTGTCTGTCCTCACAGTTCACCCAACAGGTCCAAGTAGAATACAACAGGTCCCTCAAGTACCCAATAGGTCCAAGTAGAATATGTATTGCACTGTCTGTCCTCACACTTCACCCAACAGGTCCAAGTAGAATATGTATTGCACTGTCTGTCCTCACACTTCACCCAACAGGTCCAAGTAGAATATGTATTGCACTGTCTGTCCTCACACTTCACCCAACAGGTCCAAGTAGAATATGTATTGCACTGTCTGTCCTCACACTTCACCCAACAGGTCCAAGTAGAATATGTATTGCACTGTCTGTCCTCACAGTTCACCCAACAGGTCCAAGTAGAATATGTATTGCACTGTCTGTCCTCACAGTTCACCCAACAGGTCCAAGTAGAATATGTATTGCACTGTCTGTCCTCACACTTCACCCAACAGGTCCAAGTAGAATATGTATTGCACTGTCTGTCCTCACAGTTTACCCAACAGGTCCAAGTAGAATATGTATTGCACTGTCTGTCCTCACACTTCACCCAACAGGTCCAAGTAGAATACTAGTATGTATTACACTGTCTCTCCTCACAGTTCACCCAACAGGTCCAAGTAGAATATGTAGTACATTGTCTGTACTCACATTTCACCCAACAGGTCCAAATATGATATCCTGCCTCAACACGTCGATGTAGTTTTTGTGGTACATTGGCAGTTGATTTGTCCCAATAAATATGTACATAAAAGTTACTGCTCTATCCGTAATATGTGCTACAGACTGAAATATATATATTTTTTCTCCACATTCCAAGGTATGGGTGGTTCGGAGGTGCTCCACAAGGTGGACAAAGGCTACCGGATGCCCAAACCCTCGGGGCCTATCAACTGCGACGACTCTTACTATGAGGTCATGCTGACCTGTTGGCACCGGAAGCCCGACGATCGTCCAACTTTCGCCTATCTGCATGACGTGTTTGACGACTTCATGGTGTCAACTGAAAACAGCTACAACGAGACAGGTGCTATGTGATGACGTCAGTCACCCAACAGACACAACTGACTGAAATACTCAAAATAATTTGTTTAGGGAGACAACATACATTGAAATCTTCCATGACAATCAGCACAATCACATCCATTGATTGATGTTTTAAGGTTTAGTTACGTTTGACCCATTACACCGTTTGTACTGGTACTGATGTCTGTATCTCATCCATGTTTTGTGAAATAACGATTAGGTAGAGAACAAAAGCTGAAACGCTGTAACACCGGGTATAACATTTCTGCCTCGTCAAATTACGTCATCTCAGCAATCCGTGGAGACTAGATATCAGTCTTCTTTGTCTGGTCTAAGAGATAATTACTGATCGGCTGGCTATGCTTAATGGTTAAGGCGTTCGCTATGCTTAGTGACTTGGTTGATTTTCTTCCATCGTAACTCGATGGTGTGGAACGTTGCTTGAAATATTTTCCATAGATGTTCTGGAAACGAATCAAGACTATACTACCAACAAGACTATACTACACTCGAGATTGTTCCCTAGAGTTCTAGATCTGTCATCGCCATTAGCTACGGTCAAATGAAAACATTGCATCTTTCGGGCCTTTGATACTTCCTACGGTCACAGAGTACGTGTCTTGGATGTCATATCCTGTTAGATCTACCAAAGGCCATGTGGCCAAAAATGTTACCTAAAACATTCTATTCATCCGTACATTCACCGTGTGTCTATTTGTTTTCTTCTGTTTTCTGATATACTACGAAACTAACTATTGAGTCCACTTAGCTTAGCTTCCTTGTGGTTCAAGAAACCAAACACATGATGCTTTGTTTTGTTGTTGTTGATTTTTTCAATTATAAGGTATGTTCTGTTCAAGTTTACTGTCACTGAGATATTATATTTAATAAAATGCGTGATAATTATGTCTGTTTTTATACCTTTGAGTAATGAGTGAAAGGTTGATTTTGTAACATCAGATGCACGTTTGTACTCCCCTATTCCATGTGCGAACTTTTTACCATGTGCTGAGAGATCGGTCTCCATCCTGGTAACAGTGAAATCATGGGATGTCAGTGAAATCATGGGATGACAGTGAAATCATGGGATGACAGTGAAATCATGGGCTCTCAGTTCTTCACTGCTTTGCATCATGTGGAATGGAATCCCAATGAGTAATGCATATGGTAAGACGAATACAAGACATGCTGCCGCAGATGGATAAACTCCGTGCATAGAGTGTTTGCTTGTTACGTCACACAACCATACAACCCTTTTAGCACGTTTTAACGTAAAGTTCAAGTTCGCGTGAACACGTTTTGTGTCAACAATTAACTTAACATTCATTTTTCTTTTCTGAAACCACATCGCATATGGAACTGATTCTAAGTATGAATAATTTTAGTTTTCTCTACAATTCGATCATAGAATTCCGATCACATTCCACTGACTGAGTTTGGTTTTTACGCCGCTTTTAGCAATATTCCAGCAACATCACGGCGTGGGACACCAGAAATGGGCTTCACGCATTGTACCCATGTGGGGATTCGAACCCGGGTCTTCGGCTTGACTAGCCAACGCTTTAACCACTAGGCTACCCCACCACCCCGATCACATTCCAAACATGTCTGACGTGGCAATCACTTAACGGCTAATTTTGCATATTTCTCGGCTATATGTATATCTGCCCCCTCGGTTTATTCCGAACTTGGAATACTACCGAGTGTGGATCTGGTGTACTGCCATTGCATACAGTGACAGTCAACCCCGTAACGCCGGATCCTGCTGCTTGTGAAACACATCAAGTGTGAAGACTTGTTATTCTATGAAGTACTCGAAACTTGTTTTAATTCAATTTCCTGTCTGTTCTGGCCCACGTCCCACGAGTTGAGCCGTGTGATATTGCCTACTCGGTATATGACCCTGCTGTGATGTAATTTTGTTATAGTTTTCATCATAACACCTGATTATTATATTTCTCACACCAATATGGCAGGTTCTTACTGAGATATGAATGTCCAAGCGAATAATGTACTATGTATGCAGTGACGATATTTGTGGGTATGCAAAACATTTCTTTTCGTTTATCGTGTATGTTTACTCTATCCTATCCCTGCAGATAATACTGTCTCATGACTTAAGGGTCACGCAGATGATAGATATGTTTGATATGTTTGACAACGTACGTACCCATGTCTCCCTTAATGGCGGTGATTATATATGCTGTTTTCTATACATTCCGTTGAGTTTGAGCGCCATGTTGTCCTATTTCTCCTGAGACTTAGTCATTCATTGCCGAAGCTAAGATATCATACCGAAAACATCACCCAGTCACTAACAGAGTCACTTCTTCTGGCGGTCGGTTAGTATTGTGGTTTAAGCGTTCGCTCGTCACGACAAACACAGGGTTCGATTCCCACATGGGTACAACGTTTGCTGATGTCCCCCCGCCGTGATATTGCCTGAATATTGCTAAAAGAGGCGTAATACCATACTCACTCACTATTTCTGTAGGGGCGATGGGGTAGCCTAGTGGTTAAAGTGTTCGCTCGTCACGCTGAAGGCCCGGGTTCGATTCCCCATATGGGTACAATGTGTGAAGCCCATTTCTGGTGTCCCCCGCCGTGATATTGCTGGAATATTGCTTAAAGCGGCGTAAAACCATACTCACTCACTCACTATCTCTGTAAAATTAGATGTTACAAATGCTACTGAGTTACATAATACCAGGAATAAAAGTTTTTAAATAAATTTTAATACAGTTTGTACAATCTCCGCATGCCATGTGAATGAAATCTATTGCCGCTGATTTGAACAGTATTCCGGTTATATCACTGCCTGTCAGCTGAATGTGGGCGGGAAGCCTGAAGTGATGCAGGGCTCAGATGTTTACCCTTTGTCCTCTGTAAAACCGAAGAGCATGGGCATGGTGCTGACAGGATACGTACTCGGGAGAAAGAGGATTCGAACCCACGATCATGGTGTCTGGCGTATCCATGGGACGCAACCCTGCATAGCGAATGGCCTTGCCCTAGAGGACTGTGAAACCCGTGCCCCCTTCTCCCATACTGAAATGATAGTAAGACGGCACATGTCTGAGTAGTACACTTCCGCATGGTGTGAAAGGCCTTGCCTTCATGACCACTGTTTCAATAGACACACTTCCTGGTTCAGTGATCGCTAAGTACTCCCTGTCACACCTACCTCCTCTAGTAACCCTGTTTCCAGATGAATCTGGACAAGGAGTAGACAAATGGTAAAAACACAAAACCGGTTGATTGTATTATATATTTGATTTATTCATTATACCTTAACTGATAACACGACATTAGAACATTTCTCTTTATAGGTACATAATGCAGGAGTAGGCTGGCATTTCTCAAGACATCAACGTTCTAAGTCAGCATGATATAAATACAGATGTTAACTGTAGGCTATTTACTATTAATCCTTGTCGTGTTTACAAACTGCAGTATTCCACAACCATGTTGTTACATTTGATTTACCAGACCCTCAACAGGGTTCACCAGACCTTCAACAGGATTTACTAGACACTCAACAGGATTTACCAGACCCTCACCAGACCCTCAGCAGGATTTACCAGACCCTCAACAGGATTTACCAGACCCTCAGCAGGATTTACCAGACCCTCAACAGGATTTACCAGACCCTCAACAGGATTTACCAGACCCTCACCAGACCCTCAGCAGGATTTACCAGACCCTCAACAGGATTTACCAGACCCTCAACAGGATTTACCAGACCCTCAACAGGATTAACCAGACCTTTAACAGGATTTACCAGACCCTCAACAGGATTTACCAGACCCTCAACAGGATTTTCCAGACCCTCAACAGGATTTACCAGACCCTCAACAGGATTTACCAGACCCTCAACAGGATTTACCAGACCCTCAACAGGATTTACCAGACCCTCAACAGTATTTACCAGACCTTCAACAGGATTTACCAGACCCTCAACAGGATTTACCAGACCTTCAACAGGATTTACCAGACCCTCAACAGGATTAACCAGACCTTCAACAGGATTTACCAGACCTTCAACAGGATTTACCAGACCCTCAACAGGATTTACCAGACCCTCAACAGGATTTACCAGACCCTCAACAGGATTTACCAGACCCTCAACAGGATTTACCAGACCTTCAACAGGATTTACCAGACCCTCAACAGGATTTACCAGACCCTCAACAGGATTTACCAGACCCTCAACAGGATTTACCAGACCCTCAATAGGATTTACCAGACCCTCAACAGGATTTACCAGACCCTCAATAGGATTTACCAGACCTTCAACAGGATTTACCAGACCCTCAACAGGATTTACAAAATTTAGTATGTACAGATTCAATAATATTGCAGTATGTGGTGCCCCATATTTCAGAACACAGCAAAGAATAAGGCTTATCATACAATCAACTATTTAACATATATCTGGACAAAAACTGTGGTAATCATTAGATGAAAATAGTCCTTCATATTTGCTTGGGATACAAGACAGGTCTGATTTTTTCTCCAGATTAATTGGGGATCACACAAAAACACATTTAATTTGATCTCAAGGGGCCACCATTTGTGAACACAATACTTTTGGATGGAAATGTACGTTCAAGCCAGTGTGAACAGTTATCTTCTTCTGTAGTTGGTGTCGACATCTGAGACATCATCAGTAAATATAAGGGAACACAAAATTGCTAGAAGAGGTAACAGTAATACCCTGTCTTTCCATAAGGGAACATTTATAACCTGTTTATAATATATATTTGTGGACTTAGAACACACCCTTGACGGGTGCCACTATTACAGGTAAAACACTGAGATATAACCTCAGAGGTTCTAAAACAAGCAGATGATTTCTTATACACTGATGTGATTATATAAATATATTACCATTAATACCAACTTCACACAGTGAATGCAAGAGAACACCATGTCTTGAAGCGCCAAATGCCTTGGAAAAGTCAATGAAGTGGCAATAAAATCCACCTCTTGTCTTCCCATTGTGTTTGTAGACTTATATATGCCTAAGCCAAATGAAGAGACAGCATCAATAACAGGTAATGTGATACACCCGGCCTTATCACCCACACTGCATATCTTGACCATGTTGAACATCAGTGCTTGTCACCGTCCATTAGACCATGTGGTTAATACTCATGCAGTTGGTCTATGAACATGTGGACACTGTTTCAACATGATGGTTAACCTTGTTTGTTTTTAGTAACCTGACACATTCTGTGACTAGTTCCATATCAACAAGAATTTGTGGAGGGTGGGAGGTGTCATACTAATTACTCGGTAACACTTTTACTGTTCCTGAGAGGTCCTAAAAGATAGGGACATTTCTACCATTTGGCCGAGGATTATATATGTAGTATGTAATGACAAATGCAATGTATTCTAATACGTCTCAGTAGTGGAGTAATGAGCCCATAACCGACATGTTGTTCATTAAAATATAATAATTCTCACGCCATTTCTGTAGACGGCTGTTAGAAGTAAATACTTAACATGGTGAGTCCATTAGAGAAGTGCTTCTGTTGGGGTCATTGTACAACCCCATTGTACAGCACCTATAAGAGCTCCTAGTTCCTGGTCCCAACAGGGTGTGTGTGCTCGTGGCCCTGTTCAATAGCATGTTTATGTCTGGTAGGATAAATACTCTCAGTGAGAGCAGTGCCCAACAAAGAGTTACAAACATTTTCAATTCAATTGCTACACAATCATGGATTTCATAAAACTTCCCCGCACGAAAACTTGTTTACTAACATATGCGTGTTATTAACATTTAACCTAAATATAGAACAATTGACGTCTTTCTTATTTCTGTCTAATAAAATAAGTATGTACAAACTAACATCCAACGTAAAGACCATGTGTATCATTATACTGTGGATTTCTTTACATAAAATATTATCAATAATTAAATCATTTTTTTTTCCTCGCACACAATTGAAACTATTTATTATGATTTATTCATTTATATATACATGGACATGTTGTGTTGTTAATCTGGACTGTTAAAAGGATGTCGGAATTTCACAATATTTTGATCAATAAATTAGTATACAAGAATAGATATATTTAATAGTGGAGTAAGATGGACATCTTCAATAGCTTGATTATAACACATTTTACATAATCAGTTTTTTTACGTTGCAAACTCTCGGTGCAGAGATCTTGGGCTGAACATCAAACTCTTGCCAATGAATTACGATATTCTTTCTATATTTAAATCAAACAAATGCTCTTCAGTAACTATGTATTAACTTTCAATATTCTGTTATATAACATTGTTGGGTAATGTGAACGAACATAACCATGACTGCAGGTAAGTATGTTATATCCTCTCAAGAAAAGAATCGAGAAACACACATGCGTGTAGGGGTTGCTTAATTATGTACTACTGTTCGCTGTCGAATTTCCCCTCTCTGTCTCTCTTTCTGTGTGTGTGTCTTCCTCTGTGTCTCTCTATCTCATTTTATCTATATACCTATATATAGCTGGCTACATCTAATACGGAATGCATGTGCAGAACTATGTATGTTTGCTTGCGTATGTTTTTCGCGTGTAGCTATATTTAGGGAATTCGTATTTAGAGCTATATTAATGCATAGTGTGTATCCGGACTAGCTACACGACGGTATTAACATACAGTTTGTTTGTATGCAACGCCCGTCTACAATGTCGTTGCATTGCAAAGCATATTGTATGCTTGAATACAAACCTTCTGATATTGTGAAATCGCTTTTCGCTGACCCTGGCGCTAAGGTAACCCACGTTCCCATGGGCGTATGCCTGTTGGATCAGCTTTAATATGTTCAGATTTCATCAAAGACGTTTTATATCGATCGCACATTGTCTGACAGCGGTAGCGTGACTGAAGGGACAATGAAATACGTTTGGGCTATATATAGACCTGGTTTTCCAACATGCGTCACGGTGCGTGCATTTAATCCCCTTCCTGCCACAGTCAGCACACAAACACCCTTGACGCTGACCATACAATCACTGCGTTTACCAACAGTTACACCGACTTGTCGTAGATGGATACAGGTTGACAGGAACTGAAAGGGAGATTTACGATACGACCGGTAAGCACTTAATGATCGTGACAGATAATTATCCATACTATTTACCTGAAACAAATCCTACATACTAGTATACGAGAGTGAGTGAGTGAGTTTCGTTTTACGCCGCTTTTAGGAATATTCCAGCAATATTACAGCTGGGGCCACCGGGAATAGGCTTCAGACATTGTGCCCACGTGGGGAATCGAACCCGACGAGAGAACGCTTTATCCACTAGGCTACCCCACCGCCGCTTATGTACGAGACATCTAACATGAAATGTGACACAACATCCAAACTGGAACCTTAGCAGCGTTATCCGACAGGAAGAAAGCCAATAATTGTTTTCACCCTGAAAAATGCATAAAAATAATATTTTTATATGTTGACATCCTTCAACCTGATTATTGTTTTATCCTAAACTGAGGTTTACCTTTTCACTATCTTTGGTAGGACGGTATTAACTAATTATTAACTTCTTTTCATCGCAAAGTAGATTCAATATTGCCGATGTAAAATATACTAATGCTAATAATGGTTGCCACCCCCTTCAAATTTTTTTATTGGAGAGGGGGTGTGGGGTGGGGTGTGTGGGGGTTGGGGTGGGGAGGGGGTTGACAACCATTATTGGCATGAGTCTATTAATCGGTTAGTCACACTGCAGGTACTTGTTGACGTTTCAGATAGTTAATTTGATTTAAATTAAAGTCCCGGGTAAGACTTAACGCTGTCAATGGATACAACTACGGGAGCGCTTTTAGTCGTTTTACCTTCACTGTGTTAAACAATTGTAAGTTTCTGCTTACTGAATGGGAACAGTTTTATTAAATTATATTATTTCCGCTAAATCATCCTATTATATTTAATACTGCAAATGACTAACAAGGTACACCGTTAGTGTTGTTCACAGAGGTTATTGATCAAACCACATAATGGCTTGCCTGGATAAAACAGAATCACTCGTTTCAGAAACAATCAGTTACCATAGAAACAATGGGAAATAAATGGTCAAAGAAACCCAACCGTGGAACCACCCCCTCAAATACAAAGAAGGCCGTTACTAGTGGTTCTAAGGGTCCTGCTACTTACGAGACAACTGAGGCTGTGGTTTCCGGTGCCAAGGAACCAAGGCTTCCTCCTGATCGACCTCTTCCAGCTGTGCCACAAAGTAAGTCTGTAGCTTGACATATACAGAACAAACAACTTAAAGGATCAAGAATATTTTGGGGGATATTTTTTTATTGAAAACTGAGCACAGTTTCAAAGAAAAATCCCAAATATAATCATGATCCCCAAACGCGGTGACTGAGTGAGTGGGTTAGACAGCTGGCTTTGTGCGCTGGCGATTAGGTGCCTGATTCTGAGAGTGTGGGTTCGAATCCCGGATGGGACTCAACCCAACAAAAGTGCTAGAATCTGTACCTTTCTGAGAAGTGTAATCCCAAATATAACATGTTACATTTGACCACTTTCTAAATGGCATTGTGTATTCGATTCCTACCTTGTGTTGTTCAGTATATTCGAATATTCGTATTAACGGGTGTGATAATGACATAATTGATTGATGTTATTAATATATCGATCATATCTGGCTGAATGTAATAATATAAGGGAATACATTGTTTTCGTTTTTTTTTCCTATGATGAAATGCACATGTAATAACCGAAATTAATAGTAAACAACTTTAAATATAACTGAGAGAAATATATTTTATATATTTCTATATTTACTTGCTTAAATGAATAATATGTGTTATTTGTTTACAGGGTTCAAATATTTGGCGCAGTTTAGTTTTACTGGCACAAGCGAGGACGATCTGTCCTTCAAGAAAGGAGATTATTTTTACGTTGATAAATCAAGGTATGTCACTGACGTTTATGATTCTGTCTACTTCGATAAAGACAGAGCAATAAATTGCGGATGTAGTAAATCTTGTGTTACATCAAACACTCATAATAAACGCGACTGTTCATACAAATATTTCATATAATGTATAATGTCAGTGAAGATCCTGGTTAGAATTGGTCTTCAGCTACCCATGCTTGTCCTAAAAGGCAACTATCGGGATCAGGTGGTCAGCCTCGCTGAACACATGTCATCGTATCCAAATTGTGTACATCGATGCTCCTGTTGTTGATCACTGGATTGTCTGGTCCAGACTAGATTATTTACAGACCGCCGCCATATGGCTGGAATATTGCTGAGTGCGGCGTTACACAACACACCAACAACAACTAACCAAGTATAACCTATAGCATTACGAAATTGGGTATCTTCGCAGCTGTCTGTGGGTACTGTAAGATGTCAACGGGAACTTCTTTGTACGACTGTGTGACATTTGAATCTCGTGAAGTGTGTCCGGATTATTCGATTTCGGGTCGAAAAACAGATTTACCACGATAGCGATATTTACACACTTGTTAAACGACGACTTGCATCTCTTTGAGCTTTACGCTCAAGTTAAGCAGTGGCACCGTGATATAACTGACATACTACTCAAAGCAGTGTACTCTCTCATTTATAATACACATATGAAAGCCCCCGCTCCCTTCGTCCTTGGGCCTTTGTTCAGTTATACATTCACGCATAACTGAATAGAGGGCGTTGTCTAAAATAGTATCAACTGGTCTGGAAACCGTGGGTGTTTCCCCTCGTGAAAACATCGAAAATCCCCAGGACAACAATCGTCATTGATTTTCGACCGTGTTTGCCTTGTCTTCAATGTTTGCCTTGTCGTCAATGTTTGCCTTGTCGTCAATGTTTGCCTTGTCGTCAAAGTTTGCCTTGTCGTCAATTTTTGCCTTGTCGTCAAAGTTTGCCTTGTTTGCCTTGTCGTCAAAGTTTGCCATGTCATCAATGTTTGCCTTGCCGTCAATGTTTGCCTTGTCGTCAATGTTTGCCTTGCCGTCAATGTTTGCCTTGTCGTCAATGTTTGCCTTGTCGTCAGTGTTTGCCATGTCATCAATGTTTGCCTTGCCGTCAATGTTTGCCTTGTCGTCAATGTTTGCCTTGTCGTCAATGTTTGCCTTGTCGTCAATGTTTGCCATGTCATCAATGTTTGCCTTGCCGTCAATGTTTGCCTTGTCGTCAATGTTTGCCTTCCCGTCAATGTTTGCCTTGCCGTCAATGTTTGCCTTGTCGTTAATGTTTGCCTTGTCGTCAGTGTTTGCCTTGTCATCAATGTTTGCCTTGCCGTCAATGTTTGCCTTGTCGTCAATGTTTGCCTTGCCGTCAATGTTTGCCTTGTCGTCAATGTTTGCCTTGTCGTTAATGTTTGCCTTGTCGTCAGTGTTTGCCTTGTCGTCAATGTTTGCCTTGTCGTCAATGTTTGCCATGTCATCAATGTTTGCCTTGCCGTCAATGTTTGCCTTGTCGTCAATGTTTGCCTTGCCGTCAATGTTTGCCTTGTCGTCAATGTTTGCCTTGTCGTTAATGTTTGCCTTGTCGTCAGTGTTTGCCTTGCCGTCAATGTTTGCCTTGTCGTCAATGTTTGCCTTGTCGTCAATGTTTAAATTGCCTTGCCGTCAATGTTTGCCTTGTCGTTAATGTTTGCCTTGTCGTCAGTGTTTGCCTTGCCGTCAATGTTTGCCTTGTCGTCAATGTTTGCCTTGTCGTCAATGTTTGCCTTGCCGTCAATGTTTGCCTTGTCGTCAATGTTTGCCTTGTTTGCCTTGTCGTCAATGTCATGTAACGTGTGGACTCCCAAACTAAAACAATAGATTAATCCTAAATCTCTACACGAAAGCAACAAACAACAAAGAAAAGTTATTCTTTTAACAACTGCATACTTAAAGTCAATAGGTTTATGTGTCACTATACAGTACTGCAAAGTCATGACAACGACATTACAGCTTAGTTGCACTGCGAAATGGCATTTCAATTGTACCGGCAGTAAAAACAACATAGCATATGTAACAGCAATAAAGTCTGTGATAATAATTATCATCTGACAACAAGGGTGGTCAAACTTGCTGAAACAGGATATCCAGGAAGAAAAATCTCTGCCGGATTCTACCCACTGCTTGTCTTGATTTCTGAATTCTGAAATACATTTCAACCAATTCATGGGGGTTGCTTTATTCAATTAACATAATAAAAGTGTTAAGCCAATTTTAGCAATATTCAAGCAATATCACGGCGACACCAGAAATAGGCTTCACACATTGTACCTATGTAGGGAATCGAACACGGGTCTTTGGCGTGACGAGTGAACGCTTTAACCTCTGGGATACCCCACCGTCCCTAATGTGAGATGATAGAGGCATGCACTTGCCCACTTGTATATACCTGCTATACAGTTCTGTACAGCGCCAAATTAATCTAAAGATGTTCTAGAAGATTCCAAATTGCTCTTGACTCTTGAACAAGAGACATTCCTAACAAACAATTATTGTTAAAACACAGGACCATGTAAATACAATTCCTTCGTTTTTGATAGTAAATTACACTCTTAATATGTTATCTAGTAATAAGCGTACCCACATCAAATTACACTCTTAATATACTATCTAGTAATAAGCGTACCCACATCTGAAATGCGTTAACACGTCTGCAGATATGTGAGAGAAATGCATTAGGTATGACTGAGGTCTATAACATATGACGAATCGCATTCGATACTCAACATGTTGTGTTTAATGTATTACAGCCAGGACGACGACTGGTGGCTGGCGACTAACTCGGAGACGGGGCAGAAAGGCTACATCCCTAGCAACTATGTGTGCAAGGACGACCAGTCGACAGAATCTAAGGAGTAAGTATAAGTAGTATGGACACTAGGGTCAGTTGTTGGCGAAATATCTGACAAGAGACGTTCCCCTTGATCCTTGTATTGTCAATGGTCGTATCATTAGTAGACAAGAGACGCTCCTTTAGATACCAGATCCTTGTTTTGTCAATGGTCGTATCATTAGTAGATAAGAGACGCTCCTTTAGATACCAGATCCTTGTTTTGTCAGTGCCATATCATCAGTAGACAAGAGACGCTCCTTTAGATACCAGATCCTTGTTTTGTCAATGGTCGTATCATTAGTAGACAAGAGACGCTCCTTTAGATACCAGATCCTTGTTTTGTCAGTGCCATATCATCTGTAGACAAGAGACGCTCCTTTAGATACCAGATCCTTGTATTGTCAATGGTCGTATCATCAGTAGACAAGAGACGCTCCTTTAGATACCAGATCCTTGTTTTGTCAATGGTCGTATCATTAGTAGACAAGAGACGCTCCTTTAGATACCAGATCCTTGTTTTGTCAGTGCCATATCATCAGTAGACAAGAGACGCTCCTTTAGATACCAGATCCTTGTATTGTCAATGGTCGTATCATTAGTAGACAAGAGACGCTCCTTTAGATACCAGATCCTTGTTTTGTCAGTGCCATATCATCAGTAGACAAGAGACGCTCCTTTAGATACCAGATCCTTGTATTGTCAATGGTCGTATCATCAGTAGACAAGAGACGCTCCTTTAGATACCAGATCCTTGTTTTGTCAGTGCCATATCATCAGTAGACAAGAGACGCTCCTTTAGATACCAGATCCTTGTATTGTCAATGGTCGTATCATCAGTAGACAAGAGACGCTCCTTTAGATACCAGATCCTTGTTTTGTCAATGGTCGTATCATTAGTAGACAAGAGACGCTCCTTTAGATACCAGATCCTTGTTTTGTCAGTGCCATATCATCAGTAGACAAGAGACGCTCCTTTAGATACCAGATCCTTGTTTTGTCAATGGTCGTATCATTAGTAGACAAGAGACGCTCCTTTAGATACCAGTTCTTGTTTTGTCAGTGCCATATCATCAGTAGACAAGAGACGCTCCTTTAGATACCAGATCCTTGTATTGTCAATGGTCGTATCATCAGTAGACAAGAGACGCTCCTTTAGATACCAGATCCTTGTTTTGTCAGTGCCATATCATCAGTAGACAAGAGACGCTCCTTCAGATACCGGATCCTTGTATTGTCAATGGTCGTATCATCAGTAGACAAGAGACGCTCCTTTAGATACCAGATCCTTGTTTTGTCAGTGCCATATCATCAGTAGACAAGAGACGCTCCTTTAGATACCAGATCCTTGTATTGTCAATGGTCATATCATTAGTAGATAAGAGACGCTCCTTTAGATACCAGATCCTTGTATTGTCAATGGTCGTATCATTAGTAGATAAGAGACGCTCCTTTAGATACCAGATCCTTGTTTTGTCAGTGCCATATCATCAGTAGACAAGAGACGCTCCTTTAGATACCAGATCCTTGTATTGTCAATGGTCATACCATTAGTAGATAAGAGACGCTCCTTTAGATACCAGATCCTTGTTTTGTCAATGCCGTATCATCAGTGGACAACAGACGCTTCTTCAGATACCAGATCCTTGTTATGTGAATGCCGTATCATCAGTGGACAAGAGACGCTCCTTTAGATACCGGATCCTTGTATTGTCAATGGTCGTATCATCAGTAGACAAGAGACGCTCCTTTAGATACCAGATCCTTGTTTTGTCAGTGCCATATCATCAGTAGACAAGAGACGCTCCTTTAGATACCAGATCCTTGTTTTGTCAATGGTCGTATCATTAGTAGACAAGAGACGCTCCTTTAGATACCAGATCCTTGTTTTGTCAGTGCCATATCATCAGTAGACAAGAGACGCTCCTTTAGATACCGGATCCTTGTATTGTCAATGGTCGTATCATCAGTAGACAAGAGACGCTCCTTTAGATACCAGATCCTTGTTTTGTCAGTGCCATATCATCAGTAGACAAGAGACGCTCCTTTAGATACCAGATCCTTGTATTGTCAATGGTCATATCATTAGTAGATAAGAGACGCTCCTTTAGATACCAGATCCTTGTATTGTCAATGGTCGTATCATTAGTAGATAAGAGACGCTCCTTTAGATACCAGATCCTTGTTTTGTCAGTGCCATATCATCAGTAGACAAGAGACGCTCCTTTAGATACCAGATCCTTGTATTGTCAATGGTCATATCATTAGTAGATAAGAGACGCTCCTTTAGATACCAGATCCTTGTTTGGTCAGTGCCATATCATCAGGAGACAAGAGACGCTCCTTTAGATACCAGATCCTTGTTTTGTCAATGCCGTATCATCAGTGGACAACAGACGCTTCTTCAGATACCAGATCCTTGTTATGTGAATGCCGTATCATCAGTGGACAAGAGACGCTCCTTTAGATACCGGATCCTTGTATTGTCAATGGTCGTATCATCAGTAGACAAGAGACGCTCCTTTAGATACCAGATCCTTGTTTTGTCAGTGCCATATCATCAGTAGACAAGAGACGCTCCTTTAGATACCGGATCCTTGTTTTGTCAATGGTCGTATCATTAGTAGACAAGAGACGCTCCTTTAGATACCGGATCCTTGTTTTGTCAATGGTCGTATCATTAGTAGACAAGAGACGCTCCTTTAGATACCAGATCCTTGTTTTGTCAATGGTCGTATCATCAGTAGACAAGAGACGCTCCTTTAGATACCGGATCCTTGTATTGTCAATGGTCGTATCATCAGTAGACAAGAGACGCTCCTTTAGATACCAGATCCTTGTTTTGTCAATGGCCGTATCATCAGTTGACAAGAGACGCTTCTTCAGATACCAGATCCTTGTTTTGTCAATGCCGTATCATCAGTGGACAAGAGACGCTCCTTTAGATACCGGATCCTTGTTTTGTCAATGGTCATATCATTAGTAGACAAGAGACGCTCCTTTAGATACCGGATCCTTGTTTTGTCAATGGTCGTATCATTAGTAGACAAGAGACGCTCCTTTAGATACCAGATCCTTGTTTTGTCAATGCCGTATCATCAGTAGACAAGAGACGCTCCTTTAGATACCAGATCCTTGTTTTGTCAATGGTCGTATCATTAGTAGACAAGAGACGCTCCTTTAGATACCAGATCCTTGTATTATCAATGGTCGTATCATTAGTAGACAAGAGACGCTCCTTTAGATACCGGATCCTTGTTTTGTCAACGGTCATATCATTAGTAGACAAGAGACGCTCCTTTAGGTACCAGATCATTGTTTTGTCAATGCCGTATCATTAGTAGACAAGAGACGCTCCTTTAGATACCGGATCCTTGTATTGTCAATGGTCGTATCGTCAGTAGACAAGAGACGCTCCTTTAGGTACAAGATCCTTGTATTGTCAATGGTCATTTCATCAGTGGACAAGAGACGCTCCTTTAAGTTCCAGATTCTTGTTTTGTCAATGCCGTAGTGTCAGTAGAGAAGAGACGTTCTTCTGGCTACCAGATCTTTGTTTTGTCAATGGTCGTATCATCAGTAGACAAGAGATTCGTATTCAAAATGTAACCTGAAACTTCAGCACGAGTTTGTGAAAGTCAAGTCATTGCTGTAATATAGATCTGATGTGTCTGTGTCGGTTTTCCCATATATTCTCCATTGCTATCAGCATACATATTAACGATTATTTTTGTTAATTTTAACTTGGGTATGTTTTACTAATGGATGTTCGAATGTCCAATGATAATGCAGGATGCAGAGCACCAAGCGATGTCGCCATTACGTAGTCACCAGAGTAAATTGTGGTGTGGGACCCTCCCCTTACAGGTAGAGCTAGGAAGGTTTGCTCGTCCCAGGGTTGCTTTAGAAGAGAGAATTTGTCACTGTTGTAATACTAACAGTGTAGAAGACGAGGTTCATTTTCTCGTCGTTTGTCCGTTATATTCAGACTTAAGGTGTGAACTTTGGCTGAAAATAATCAGAACAGATCCCTCTTTCATCCAGCTCAGACCAGTTAACCAGCTCATCTATCTTATGACCTCAAGTGAATTATACAAGCCGCTTGCCTCACTTATAACTCTGATGTTTCGACGTAGACAACATGTTAAGCCCAAGTCGCGTTCTCTCGCCTCCAAAGATCACCCTGTTTTACTCCCTCTTATTATATTTTATTTTAATCATATAATGTGTATTTTAATGACAATAATTAGTGTCTCGTAGGCCTTGATGGCCGGATGCGCACTTTTACTGTATGTGCAATATATTTTATGTACATTTAATAACGATTCTATTGTAGAGCATGTGACGCTGAAATAAACTATTTTTCTTCTTCTTTCTTCGTGATGGCATGACATACACCTATACGTCTGTGCAAGCTTTGGTAACTGTTTTTGAAGACCTTTGGGCGTTTCTTACAAGAGCATGTTTTGATTGTCGTTTTCAGTTGGTGGGTTGACTTTGATCGCAACGAAGCAAATAATTTGCTGTTTTCCGCTGGCATCGAACCTGGCACGTTCCTGGTCCGTGATGCATCAGGTAAAAAAATGAACATATGACCCTTTACTCGTAGGCGTCAGGTAAAGCATGAACATATGACCCTTTACTCGTGAGGCATCAGGTAAAGCATGAATATATGACCCTTTACTCGTGAGACATCAGGTAAAGCGTGAACATATGACCCTTTACTCGTGAGACATCAGGTAAAGCGTGAACATATGACCCTTTACTCGTAAGGCGTCAGGTAAAGCATGAACAGATGACCCTTTACTCGTAAGGCGTCAGGTAAAGCATGAACATATGACCCTTTACTCGTGAGACATCAGGTAAAGCGTGAACATATGACCCTTTACTCGTAAGGCGTCAGGTAAAGCATGAACAGATGACCCTTTACTCGTAAGGCGTCAGGTAAAGCATGAACATATGACCCTTTACTCGTGAGACATCAGGTAAAGCGTGAACATATGACCCTTTACTCGTAAGGCGTCAGGTAAAGCGTGAACATATGACCCTTTACTCGTGAAACATCAGGTAAAGCATGAACATATGACCCTTTACTCGTAAGGCGTCAGGTAAAGCATGAACATATGACCCTTTACTCGTAAGGCGTCAGGTAAAGCGTGAACATATGACCCAGGATGAGGGAAGTGACATAGTTGTTATACACAGGGTTATTCGAAATATTGAGGACAGAACGTGTACCGGTTCCTCGTTATGAAGCAATTGATGTATCGAAGGCACTATGAAGGGGTACGGATAATTGTTTGATATAGAGATACTCACTCCTGGCATGATTTGACAATGTCCCATTCTGCTCCATGAGTATTCACAGTTTTATTCATCTTTGTTTCAGACAAAACGTCCTTTGTGTTGTCTGTGCGAGACCAAGGTGCGGAGCCAAGTGTTAGGCACTACCGCATCCGGAGACTGGCCAATGGCAGCTGCTTTATTAACCCAAAGAGATTATTCTCTAACATGGTCGAACTAATAAACCATCACAAAAGTAAGTCAGATCCATTTGCTCTGGGGCGTTGTATCATTTCCCCATGCCTAAGTGTGACATGGAAAGATAAAAGATGCTTATGAACTATACCAGTAGTAAATCAGATCCCTTTGCTCTGAAATTGGTATCTCAAATGTCCTAATAAATATTTTTGAAATGGAGAGCTATAATGCCTGTATGTAATAACGACTAAGATATGGACTTTGGAAAGGGGCAGTTATTATTGCCTTGTTACCGCTTTGATAATTTGTAATCTCCTTCCCCACTCTTCCAGAACACGCAGACGGTGTGTGTGTGGTGCTGAAGAGAGCGTGTCCCAAGTCCGCACCCGCAGTCGCCTTCAGGGATTTGGAAGTAGCGCGAAGTGCTGTCACCACATCTGAGCTGCTTGGTAGTGGAACATTCGGGCAGGTGTGGAAAGGTATGTGCCACGTGTTCCTGCTCTATCTAGCAAAGGTAATATTCATTAGAACAAAGTCTCACAATCCGTAGCTTCTTCTTTGCCCTTTAAGGCCTCTTGAAAACATCTTAAGGCCATGTATGTCTCAGCAAGATGCTTCATGATTACACCCACTGGATGTCGACATGGACAATGGACAATAATCATTGCAATTATCTGGATAATTGTTTTGTTCAGGTAAATTGTGGAATGGGATCGACGTTGCAGTGAAGTCGCTCAAGCCCGAAAGCATGACTCCGGAGGCCTTCCTCATGGAAGCTAAGATCATGCACCAGCTGCGTCACAAGAAGCTGGTCCAGCTGAGGGCCGTGTGCAGCAGCGAGGAGCCCATCCTCATCATCACAGAGCTGATGGTTAATGGCTCCCTTGTGGACTACATCAGGAAGGATCAGGGGAAGAAGATTCGATTCCTCAACATCATCAGCATGGCATCGCAGGTGCGTAGAACAGTCTAACATATCTTTGTTACATTTACAGTGTTGACCATTGCTGTCGGCCCCGTTCCACAAAGCGATCGCAGCGCTACGGCAGTCGTAAGTGTATGCTAAAGACGGGAGTTACGATCACCTTAGCGTTACGATCCCTTTGTGGAACATAGCCCTGTTCTTTACAACGACCTCAGTAGTACAACTAACGTCACTTGTATCACTGCCCGACTAACGTCAACTGTATCACTGCCCGACTAACGTCCCCTGTATCACTGCCCGACTAACGTCACCTGTATCACTGCCCGACTAACGTCGAGATGCTAAGACCCTTTCATTTCTTGCAAATCTAGGGTCATGTTAAGATATCCACAAAAGCCAACACTATATTGAGACATAAAGCCGCTGAATATTTTAGATTATTTCTTTTATGATATTATCAATGGCTGACCAAATACAAAACTGTTTAACAAGACGTACACTGATATTAGTTTCCATAATCATTTAGATTGCTGACGGTATGGCGTATTTAGAGAGAGTAAGAATTTCATCCATCGAGATCTAAGAGCGGCCAACGTACTCGTAGGAGAATTCTATGACGTTAAGGTTGCCGACTTCGGCCTGGCAAGAATCCTTGAAGATGAGCTCTACAGAGCCCATGATTGTAAGTATGCAATGAATGGGTGGCTGGGTGTGTGTGTGAGTGAGTGAGTGAGTGAGTGAGTGGCCGTTTCCAATAATATTTTTTTTTACTGGAGGATACGTTTAAGTAAATCGGTTAAGAAGAATATTAAATTTGAAACCTTGCATACGTTTGTTAGTTGAAATGACTGTTATTTTCAACGTTTAGATTCCAAGTTCCCTGTCAAGTGGACGGCCCCTGAAGCCGTCAATATGAGGATGTTCTCAGTCAAGTCTGATGTGTGGTCCTTTGGTATAGTCCTTTACGAACTGATCACCTTTGGGAAGGTACCATACCCAGGTCAGTATTCACATTCTAATGAAGAGGGCAGGCGGGAAGAGCTGGGAATGTTATATCGTCGAGCCACCGTCATTGTCTCAAAATTCGGCTGGCGAAGACCCTTAGGTCACTTTTTTAATCATAAAGTTGACTTGTTAGCATCATTCCTTTGCTCGTAGTTTTGACCAAGCGGAACCTCCTTTAAATACCATATGAAGTTGAAACATGATACTTCTTGTTACCCTGCCTGGACGCTTTTTGGTTTTTGTTGATATGTACTTGACGTCATTTATATTTTCCTAGGTTGGAAAGGATATGAAGTCCTGGATATGATTGAGAGCAGCAACTACCGGATGCCCCGGCCAACTGGACGATATAACTACCCTGATTCCTATTACGACGTCATGCTCCAGTGCTGGAACAAATGCCCGGATGATCGGCCAACGTTCGCGTATCTGCATGAGTTATTCGCCGATTATTTTGTTTCAACAGAGTCAGGATACAAAGATACAGATGCGATGTGATGATCGCCTTAAGTCACATGTGGGTGTGATCTAAAACTTGACATTCGAACCATGCATACATATTTTTATACCTCGGTGTGCAATGATCTGAATTGCTAGGTTAACCTTTGTTTTTCTGAGGAAACCGGTATGCACTGTAGGTATCGATGCATCAGCTGGTACAGGATACTGGGAGTTCATTAAAGGGCCAGTCAGCTTCTAGAATGTGATACTGACGAAATTCCTGTGAGTCTTATGAAGGAAGAACGAACAAAGTAACCATTATGGCGTTGCGAGTGAGACGTGGACTGACGTGATTAGACAGGTTCCATTCTGATTTCTGACAATGCTGTGGATTACGAGTAGATATATTCCCCTTCTATGAAGGGGTCACCAGTTTGGAAATCCATGTGCCATAATGATCAAGTCACAGTGGACAACGTAATTGGCCGTGGATGTCGTGTCGAGGACATCGCAGCATAGTTTAGTATGACATGGCAACAATTTCATTATCTGTTTACGTCTTGACAGACTGGACTCTTTGCTCCGAGTTCGTATAGCACAGAGTTGAAGCAAGTAATCAGCTGACAGACTAGACTCTTTGCTCCGAGTTCGTATAGAACAGAGTTGAAGCAAGTAATCAGCTGACAGACTGGACTCTTTGCTCCGAGTTCGTATAGCACAGAGTTGAAGCAAGTAATCAGCTGACAGACTAGACTCTTTGCTCCGAGTTCGTATAGCACAGAGTTGAAGCTAATCAGCTGACAGACTGGACTCTTTGCTCCGAGTTCGTATAGCACAGAGTTGAAGCAAGTAATCAGCTGACAGACTGGACTCTTTGCTCCGAGTTCGTATAGCACAGAGTTGAAGCAAGTAATCAGCTGACAGACTGGACTCTTTGCTCCGAGTTCGTATAGCACAGAGTTGAAGCAAGTAATCAGCTGACAGACTGGACTCTTTGCTCCGAGTTCGTATAGCACAGAGCTGAAGCAAGTAATCAGCTGAAGGCCATTATAGTGTATGTGTTTTGGTTTTGTGTCTGTTATATAACGGCTTACTCAGCAATACTCAAGCTATATGGCGGCGTTCCGTACATAATCGAATCTGGATCAGACAACCCAGTGATCAACAGCACGATCATTGATCTACACAATTGGGATAAGATGACATGTGTCAACCAATACAGCGACCCTGATCCCCCGATCCCGCTAGTCACCTCACGTATGGGTTGCTGAAGACCAATTCTAACCCAGACCATAACAGGTTCCATATTGTATGTAGTTATAAACGCTAATATATAACGCTTTCCGGGCATTAGCATATTGTAATATTGTGAGCATAATAGCACATTAATCCAGGGTAGGACACATACGATCACTTTTGATGATTCATCTGTTACAAAGCCAATTAAAAACATTGAATTTTATTCATAGTTGTGTCTGAAATTGTTTATGAATTATGTTTAAAATCAGTTCAGCCAGATAAGCACGTAAATCAGATGTGACATTTGGAAGACAAATCCGTCAGTTCTGCCAGAAACGTACGTAAATCAACTGTAACATTTGGAAGACAAATCCGTCAGTTCTGTCAGAGACGTACGTAAATCAGCTGTAACATTTGGAGGGGCGGTGTAACATTTGGTTAAAGCGCTGGCTCAAAGACCCGGGTCCGTCAAGTTCTGCCAGAAACGTACGTAAATCAACTGTAACATTTGGAAGACAAATCCGTCAGTTCTGCCAGAAACGTACGTAAATCATCTGTAACATTTGGAAGACAAATCCGTCAGTTCTGCCAGAAACGTACGTAAATCAACTGTAACATTTGGAAGACAAATCCGTCAGTGCGGACAGACATGGACGTAAATCAGTTGTAACATTCTGACGACAAACCCGTCATTTCAGACTGATGTTTTCAGTTTCCTAGATCGGCGATCAAGAAAGTTTTCTAAAGGAGAGCTCAAAAAGATTACCAATGTTTGGTAAAACAATCACTATCATTTACGCATGGGGGTCATACTGATGTAAAAATTCAGAGGAAATCTTTCCTCTGATTTTACTGACGCCTCATTTTTAACCGACCCATCCTTGAGTGCACAATAGGAGGTGTATCGGGGTATTTTTGAACACTGCCTCATTCAGTAAAATCTCAGCAATAGGACAGCGGTCTGTACATAATCGAGTCTGGACGAGACAATCAAGTGATTGATAAGGCTGTTATTGTGAACAACGCCCTACAACCTATAGAATACAGTTCGTGTATTCTGTTGATCTTGTATATATCAAACACCAGTAAATGGTACTCAAGTCTTGGTACATAAATAGTAAAACATACACCTGTACTAAGACATGCATGTAGGTTTTCATTTGCAAGAATAGTGTTTCGATTTAATTTTAAATCTAGTTGACTGATTTTTGGAAACAAAATTCCTACACAAATAAAAAAATCCTCCCCATGGAAAACAAAACAACAAAAGAGACCAAAAAACAAGACAACCAACAACAAACAAATAATTACACCCCCCCCAAAAAAAAATAAAAAAAAATAAATAAAAAATAAATAAAAGTAAAATAAAATTAAATAAATAAAAAAAATATATAAAAAATAAAAATAATTAAATAGAAACTGAATACTCTATACCGGGTGACATTAAACATACATGTAATTATATATGGATGTGATCTACTGTGTAGATATCCATGTCCGGCTAGTGATACATTCCAAAATGTCTATTTATTGCATTATTACATATTGTTTCACAGCTTCGTGTCAAAAGTAACCTTTTTATGTTCTTCCTCGTCAATAAGTCCACTGCTCCCGACATATCTTTTATATTAATCATAAGCCCGCACCCCTTAAACGGAAAATGTATTGATGTTGTACAAAATACCTGTAGATACAGATGCCTGATGTTCCTGCCTGTGTTGGGGTGGCCAGCAGCAGGATATGTCTGTCGGTGGCAACGCCGAGAGTTGAGCTGTAAACACGCTCATCCCTTTTTTAATCCTGAGCTGGAAATTCCATTCAATTTATATCTCTCGTGAGTGGTTGAGTGAGTGAATGAGTATTGTCAAGTTGGCAAAACGTTTTTCTGAGTAATGATTGAGTTAATATTTTAAATCACACCTGCAATACCTTTATCTTGTGAATTAGTGAGTTAATATTTTTAAGTCGCGTGGGCAATACTTAAATATTTTGTGATGTAAATCAAATAACAAATAATGTTGGTATCAATACTGCTTCGCCTTCACTAAAGTCAGTGAGTGAGTATTTTTTTACATCGCTTTTAGCAATATCACGACGGGGGACACCAGAAATGGGCTTCACACATTGTATCCCTGCCGGGATCGAAACCGATTCTTGAGCGTGAAGAGTGAACGCTTTCACCACTAGGCTACCCCACCGCTCCCTTCATTGAAAGGGCTTTTTCTATGGAGTCATCAGAATTATAGGGAAATTGTACTACTAACGTAACTTATTTTAGTCATTAGAGGCATATTTGTCTCCTACCCCAGTGTAGTTACACACTTCAATCCAGAAGTTAATGATTACTGGTGACCTAACTAGACAGAGGCAACCTCTGACGTAGGTTATGGAACACAGAGCTTCAACACTTTTTTACGAACATCAACTACACTGAATAACAATTTCTATTTCAGTTACACACAAAACCAACGAAAACATAAAACAAACAACAAAACTAAAAATGAAGTATGTAGTGATGAGAGGGTGGAAATTCCGCCACGTGTATGCAGGATGTGTGAAGATCTGAATCGTCTACCGTATTGTTTAAACCATGAGCATGGGTATACAGCTGAAAGATAAGGGGCCGTTCATAATATATGGCTAGGGGGTTGATGATGATTTTTATGGAGAAGCATGTACAATGTGAATGACCCCCCCTAAAATTGATGTACAAAATAAGTGACCCCCCTGCATGTCATGTACAAAATCAGTGACCCCCCTCCCCTTACCATTATTTCTAAGCATAATTTGAAACATATTTTTATGTACAAAATTGATGACACCCCCCACCCCCTAGTGCGTGTGTACAAAATTGATGACCCCCTAGCTCCCCAGAACAAAATGGGTGACTACCCCTTAAAATCATCATCACCCCCCTAGCCATAAATTATGAACGGTCCCTAATGGACCACAATCAGATTGAACTCGCGATGAGATCAGGCCTGTAATCCGTGTCACTTTCACTCACGATCCACTCCATTTGGCGGACACAAACCCGTTACAACAACATAGCACAGTAAAGAGTTACGATCTGTCATAGATTCCAGGTACTTCAGTCCATCTGATATACAAGGGCTCGAAATAACCTTCATTTGCAAGTACGGTAATTAAGATATCAACTTCAAAGCCACATAACCTTAAACTGGCTACCTGGTTAGGTATGGCCTGAGGGAAACACAAAGGCCCATTGTGTCCCAAACATCAAAGGTAGATGTTATTTATTGAAGAGGACAAAACCATATAGCAGAGGTGTTAGTTTTCTGTTAAGTCGGTCGTTAAGTATGTCCCCAGACAAAGTAACAGTTAATTAACTATTCGCTCCCTGAACAACATCGGGAAAATATATAGTCGGTTGCTGTGTAGGATTCCCTATTTCTAAACAATCTAACATTACTGTCAACAGCGTGTTCATCTGTGCATGGAGGTGATGCGAGGTGAAATTGGGTTTAACGTCGTGCTTATTTCGCTCATATGACGACGTGCATGCGTGTGTATGTGCAGCTGCTTGTACTAGCCCAGACTGAAGCTGGTTTTATAGTGCTAGCCCACTGAGATACCATGCCGCAGTGAAGCATGACTACCCCACTCAGACACATTAGCCGACCAGTCCCTGTTGTACTCATTAATACCGAGCGCCAGACAGGGACCAACAAGTACCATATTTTAACGTCTTTAGGTATGACGCGGTCGGGGACCGACAAGTACCATATTTTAACGTCTTTAGGTATGACGCGGTCGGGGAACGAACCCGCGACCTTCCGCTCTCCGGGCGGACGCTCTAACCACTACACCACGGAGGCGGTCCTGTGCATGGAAGTATTCAGCAATGGCGAATGGTTTTTGAAGAGAAAGACACAACTGGTTCAGTCCTGCACTTCCATTAAGCAGGTATATTGTGTATTCAGCATCGTTGTCTCACGTAAAACATCAGTATGTTTTACACTAACGTCATAGTGATACCTAAACACATTCGTGACCAACTCGTGTTATTCCGGGACAAGCCGAATAGCGTCTTCTTGGAGGTTACGGAAAGAGGCGAGTGGTGACGAATGACCTAAACACTGAGGACAGTTTAGCGGGTCCTGGGTACTGGTGAAATGAATCCCGGAGACTGCGGGGTGATGCTTCGTAGGAAAGCTACGTCAGTTACTACTATCACCCAACAGATGCCCTTGAATTTTGGTCAAATATTTAACCATCCATGTCTGTGTACAAATATTTACGTTGAAATAGCAGATTTAGTTACGTCAAAGTATGACTATGTTTAATTGTTGTTGTGCAATGTAAAAGTCTTGATTGTTGGTGTGTGGAAATTTCTAAATACGGCCTTGTTTCAGTTT